ATGGACAGCCATTTTGCATGGAAGTTGAGTGCGTTATCTCGTATTACACCTTCATAGAAATAGCGAAAAAAGCATAGAAATCATTCGGTCCCCAGGATAATTTTAGTATGGCAATAATCAGCATAAAATTCTACGTCATATATGTTAAAATAAAAATTCCTATAGAATAGGTAATGCATGAATGAGACTTCAACATAGACAGCCATTTTGCATGGACGTTGAGTGCGTTATCTCGTATTACACCTACATAGAAATAGCGAAAAAAACATAGAAATCATTCGGTCCCCAGGATAATTTTAGTATGGTTATAACCAGCATAAAATTCTACGCCATATATGTTAAAATAAAAAATTCCTATAGAATAGGTAACGTATGAATGAGACCTCAACATAGACAGCCATTTTCCATGGAAGTTGAGTGCGTAATCTCATATTACACTGTCAAAGAAATAGCGCAAAAACCGCACATCTAAATCATATGGTCCCAGGACAATTTTAGTATGAGACCTCAACATAGACAACCTATTTTAAGGTGTATGATAATCTATATAAAATATTAAACAACACCATTTTGAAAGGCGGGGGGTGATGAATGTCGTGATGGCAATGTGCCAAAATTTAAAAAATATTGAAGATTTGTGTTTTGACTATTGTCATAGTAGAAACTGCATGTGTAATATATTAACTGCAAGTGTATTTACATTATCTTAATTGAACTTGCAAATGTATATGTTTGAATTAATTTATGATTTGGTTTAAATTATGCGACTGAAAGATCATGTAATTGACTTTAATATGGACTATGGTTTATATGGCATTGGGTTTTTGAAAAAAAATTGCTTCCTAAATTGTGAAAATTGCTCGAGACCGTCGGTAGTATTAATGTTGCTGCAAAGATTAAAATGTAAATGATTCTCCCCATGCTAATGCCTATTTTTAAGTTGAACTCTTTTAAATGATGGGAAATAGCGAGGTCGCCACATGTGGTCGTTATCTGTTAGTTAATCTCTTTTAATCTGGTGAAAAATGTCGGTGCGAATGTTGTGATGAATGTCGTGATGAATGTCGTGACCAATGTTGTGACAGCTTCACTTCAGTTTTTATCTGGCGGCACTGAAATGAAATCATTTCAATATATAAAATCTCGAACGCGCAAATTCAAATTTTAACAGCCACATGTTCAGGCTAGCCACAAGATAAAATGAAATATAAATAGGGTCGATGGACGTTATAATTATGTGATATAAAGAGTAATAATACATACCTGAAATCAATAAGCCTTTGGCAAGACTTAGAGTCACATATCCAATCAAAATATAGCTTTTCTTCAGCGAAATATAGCTTTTCTTGAGCGAAATATATCCAAACGGAAAAAATCGAAAATTTGCAAATCACACTCGACACTTGATACGCGATATCCCACAACTCATTGCGAGCATGGCACTTGTCTTCTAAAATAGATACGCCAAAAAGCGCTCCCTAGCTTTACTATGCGATTTTACAAAGGACTTGAAGTAGTATTAAACTTCATTTCAATTTTTTTTCTGATTATAAGAAGATTATTCTAGGTTGGACAAATGTTATTCTTAAAATAAGAAAAAAATTTCTCGAATATTCCAATTGTTGCCCTGTTCTCAAAACGAGATTTTTTTCTTGAAATATTGCTTGATATTAAGAAATAATTACTTAAGATAAGAAAAATAATCTAAAAAATAAGAATATTATTCTAGACTACTTTTTGATGTTTTGCAGTGCATGATTTTATGTGAAATTTCACTTTTACTTCATGTGAAATCCTTTCACATATGAAATTTCACTTTTTACTTCATGTGAAATATTTCACATGTGAAATTTCACTTTTTTACTTTTATATAAAATCATTTCTCATGTGAAATTTCACTTGTAATTTCATGTGAAATCTTTTCACATGTAAAATTTCACTTGTAATCAGTGGCGGCGCCAGGGGGGAGGGGGCAAGGGTGGATGCCCCCCATTATTTTGCCCCCCCCTCTCTCAAAAAAAATTATTAGACACTGAGAGCGACTAAAGGCTACACAAGCGTTTTGTCGTTATCGGATAATGTATGGTTTATAAGTTCTCATTACTCATTAGTCATTAGTGAATGCGCGTATAATACTGTTTTTACAGTTTCAATATTAGTTTTCAAATCTCTGAATGGTAAAACTTGCAAATACTCCAATAATACGTTTCAAAAAAGACAAAAAAAGCTTTAGTTTTGCAGAATTAAATTCTCAAACGTAAGGCACTAATAAGATGAACGTATCACGAAATTTGAATAAACCACATCGCATATATGGGGGGGGGGGCGAATATTCTAAAGGGGGGGGGCGATATTCCTAGGGTGGGGGGGAGTGATCAATCTCCTCGAGGGGGGAAGTCCTATGATAACAGCATGGGTAAATAGCACTACCTATTTAACAATTCTATCTTGCCCCCCAAAAAATATGAGTTTGTCCTTCAAATTTCCTCCTCCCCCCAATTTCTGAGGCGTGGCGCCGCCACTGCTTGTAATTTCATGTGAAATCCTTTCGCATGTGAAATTTCATTGTAATTTGTAATTTCTTGCGAAACATTTCACATGTGAAATTTCAGTCGAAATTTCATGTGAAATTCCTTCACGTACATGTGAAATTTCAGTTTGTAATTTGTAATGACATGCGAAATCCTTATCTTTTCACATGTGAAATTTCACTTGTAATTTCATGTGAAATCTTTTCACATATGTGAAATTTCAATTGTACATGTAATTTGTAATTTGATGTGAAATCCAGTTTCACATGTGAAACTTCAGTCGTAATTTCATGTGAAATCCTTTCACGTACATGTGAAATTTCACTTTGTAGTTTGTAATGTCATGTGAAATCCTTATCTTTTCACATGTGAAATTTCACTTGTAATTTCATGTGAAATCTTTTCACATATGTGAAATTTCACTTGTAATTTGTAATTTCATGTGAAATCCTTTCACATGTGAATTGTCACTTGTAATTTGTAACGTTCATGTGAAATCTTTTCACATATGTGAAATTTCACTTGTTATTTATAATTTCATGTGAACTCCTTTCACATGTGAAATTTCTCTTGTAATTTCATGTGAAATCTTTTCACATGTGAAATGTCACATGTGATTTCATGTGAAATCCTTTCACATGTGAAATGTCACATGTAATTTCATGTGAAATACTTTCACATGTGAAATGTCACATGTTATTTCATGTGAAATCTTTTCACATGTGAAATCTCACATGTGATTTCATGTGAAATCTTTTCACATGTGAAATGTCACATGTGATTTCATGTGAAATCCTTTCATTTGTGAAATTTCACATGTGATTTCATGTGAAACTTTTTCACATGTTAAATTTCACATAAGATCACATAATTTCACATGTTGTCACATGATTTCACATGATTTCACATGAAATCACATGTATAAAATAAATAAAAAAATAATTAAATTTGTACACCTTTAGATAGTTCATCTTTCTTATGAACAGCGATTTCAAAACAATTGCAAAATGACAGCCATTGAGTTGGTTCTCAGTTAAATGTATTTAATACAAGTTTTTTAGTTTCGCGTGTTTATTCTTCGATCCATTGCCTTGATCCAATGAACAATGGTATAGATAATATTGATTGTCAAATGGACAAAATGTTAAACAAAATATGGCTTCAGGAGAAACCAGGGTTTTTTTCGGCCGTAAACGGCCCTAAAAACTCAATATTGAATTGAGTTTTGAAACTCAATCTTCTCACCAAAGTTTCAGTGCAGTAAAAATGAAGTTGTTTGAGTTATAAAATTTTGGTGACGTGTGGAAATTACTGTAGTTTTCAGTTGGAAGCCCGACAAGCCATCTTTAACCAGCTTATAGTGTCCCTGCTTTAACACATTCCGTCTCAACTACATTTATTGAGTACAGGTGTTAGCCCCACGGTAGGGTGGGGGTGCAGCCACCCCAACTGTCCAGCTAAACTCAATCTTCTCTGCAAAAACGGACCCAGGAGAAAATCCTGGGAGAAACTCAATTCGCTACAACACATTGTGCTATTAGAACTACTATTTCAGTAAATATATAAATGATTTTCTTACAATGATAGTTTTTTTCTTAAACTGAGAACGTTAGGTGTGAATTTATCTTATTTTTTTATCTTGTCAAAAGTATCTAGTTCTAAGAAAGTTAATCTTAAAATAAGATATATTTTCTTAAAACAAGAAAACGATTCATCTAGAAATATTTTCTTAATTAGAATTTTTTTCTCGCTATTCTCCCTAGTAAAAATTTTCTTGTTTTAAGAAATATTTTCTTAAAACATGTTAAATTTTCTTAGTTTAAGATTTAATTTCTTGTTATTTAAGAAAAGTTTTCTTAATTTAAGAAAAATTTTTCTTAATAAGAAAATAATGTTTTGCTGTGTAAGCTTGGTTTCCTTGGCGTATTTTCTTCTTTTTCGCAAAGGTAGACATCTCTCAATCGTTTAATCCGAATCTCGCATGACAAAGTATTTTTTTATTAATCTTCTCTGTTTGGATATCAATTTATTATATTTTACGCTATAGTTTGCACCAAATTTCGCCAGATAATCTGTTTGTTATAATGCCAGTCATGCTATTATTGTCTCTAGCGTCATTACTATAAATATTTGCTACCATAAAAATCTCAGTGAATCTTGGTCTTCTGGAGGAACTTTTACCTGGTGGAACATGCTTTCGATGTCTGCTGCCAAGCCTACGTTTTCTTGACGAAATCTCAGTAGGACACCAACAAGGCTGTTCGTACGATATGGTCCTTGCGATAGGTTCTTGTTCAGCGAGTTGTTTTCAAATTCTGCAGCAGCATCAAATACTATTCTTACTTTTCCCGGCTTATTAGGATTTAGTACTGGGAAATGGGGTAGGTACCATTTTCTTGGTCCGGATGCAAGGACTTCGTCAGGTGAGAGGCGGCGTGCATATCCCTTCTTAAAATAGTCCTCCATTACAGAGCGATATTTTTGTTCTAGACTAGGCTCCTTCCGAAAACGTCTCTTCAGACTCTCTAACCGCTTCTCGGCTTGCTTTCTGTTGTCAGGCAAAACTGTATCATCAGCTTTCCATAGGAGGCCTGTTTCATAATGACCATCTTTCATTGTGAACGTTTGATCTAATATCTTCTGTGCACGCTCATCTTCTTTCGACATACCTTCGGTCGAAAGGTGACGTTCTTCGTCCTTTCTGGGTCTAATGGCTCTTGTTCCATAGCCTTCTATATTACAAAAGTTCTCAATTTGGTTATGTAGCGTTTTATCACGGTCAGTAAAATTAACGCTGATGTCTGTTTTTGTTGAAACACCGTCTATATACTTTGTTGAAATTGGTCCAAAATTATCAAATAAATTGCCTTCCAGTCCTAGAGTTTTTTCCGAATATCTGGATCCAGTAGATTGTGAATTTCAATTCCTTATGATAAATGATGACACTGTTTATAAGAAAATAATGAAACTCAAACCTAACAAGGGAGCTGGTCTAGACCAAAATTCCCCAAAAACTGATAAAGGATTCTGCAGTCGTTATCACACCCTATTTGAACCTCATTTTGTAATCTATCCCTATCAGAAGGGAAATTTCCTGATGACTGGAAAACAGCTAGAGTTTCCCAATTTTCAAATCTGGAAATCGAGAAGAATGCGGCAATTACAGACCCATAAGTATTTTATCCGCCATTTCGAAAACTTTCGAAAAAATTGTATCTGACCAGCTAAGTCAGTATCTTAATACAAACAAGATTTTAACCGACTATCAGTCAGGTTTCAGAAACGTATACTCTACTTGTTCTCCTTATTAAGAACAACTAATGAATGGTTCGTTAATATGGGTAAAGGCTTGATAAATGGCGTTGTTTTTTTACTCTAAAAAAGGCTTTTGATACAGTTGATCACAATATATTGATTAATAGAACTTTATGGCCTCAAAAATATTGCCCTTCTCTGGTTCATCTCATATCTGTAAAGTAGGGATGTCTGTTTCAAATAGTGAAAACGTCACAACATGCGTGCCGACAAGACAAAGGTTGTCCCAAGTTAGTTCTGATCCAATCCTATCGATGGGCTCTGAGGGCATTAAACGTGTTTTATCCACCAAAACGCTTGGCGTAGTGGTTGATGAATGCATCACCTGGAAAGACCATATTGATAAAGTGGCCAAAAAAGCTGCAAAAGGGATAGGAATATTACGGAGGTCTAAACATTTATTTGACAAAGATACGCTTAAAACCATTTATAGCGCTTTTGTTTTACCTCACTTTGATTATTATTCATTGGTATGGAACAATTGTTCCAAAACCTTGCAAACAAATTGCAAAAACTCCAAAATAAAGCCGGCCGAATAATCACAGGTGATTGCTACGAAACAGCTTCAGAAATTGTGAGAACTAAACTTTCATGGGACAACTTAGAGGCAAGGAAAGAGAAAAAATTAGAAACATTAATGATACAAATAATAAAAGGTAATTCAACTGATTACCTTCGCACGTTTTTCACAAACTGTACGAATCAAACGTATGAATAAAGAAGTAACAATATTATCATGTTCTCCACTTGCCCAAACTTGACACCAACGCTTTAAAGCGTAGTTTTTGTAATAAGGGGGCTGCAGCTTGGAACAAAATCGATGACAAAAGTAAATTTTAACCACATGTTTTAATATTTTTACATTTTTTACATTCATAATTTCCTGTATATGTTTTATATTCATGATATCTTAAATTAATTTTAACACACGGCCATCTGAAAATCAACCTTAGCTTTTTCGTTTTGCCTGTATTTTCTTAACATATTATGTAATTATAATTATTTTTTAACTTTGGTTGAGATGCTATCGTGTATAAATATTGGTAAATAAATAAATAAATAAAACAGAACCAATCAAGAGAATCTTAACTAATTGTAATATTAAAGTTGGCTTAAAACCCTATTTAACCTTAGGCTATATTTTCACAAAGCCAAAAGATCCTGTTAAAACAAATAAAAAAACTCATGCTGTATGTTCTATACCATGCGGTGACTGCGAGAAAGAGTATTTGGGTCAGTCTAAACGCCAGTTTGGTACACAGTTAAAAGAACATCAAAAGGCTGTTTCAAATTTAGACAAGGGAAAATTAGCTTTAGCCGAACATGTATGCTAAACCAAACACGAGATTGCGTGGGAAAACTCTAAAGTAATTACCACAAACAATCGCTATGTTCAAAAACTGCATAAAAGCGTAGCATATAAATATGAGTAATCATGCTATGAATAGGGATGACGGTGCCTATTTGCCAGAGGAATATACGCATCTCATTGGCAGGTGACGTCATCCCTTGGGTATTTAAGAAGCCACGATTACAACTTTAGATTACCCCTGATGAAGACACTAGACTGGACTGTCGAAACGTTGGATCTTGATTACAATTCGACTGGGCATTGTAATAATTTATTTAAACCAGAGTAGCGATTAAAACATGATTGATATACCCGGTTGCAATGAACCAACAAACTTTATACCACTCTTCATTGACGAATCGCTAATCGAAGGGAAGGTGACTGTGAAACTCATTAGAATAACAATATATCTCATTGTCAATGTTAGTCTATATTTATTCATAAATCTGGTCCTTCGTCGTCACGTGTGTATTGTATTTTTGCCAAATCCACCAATAGCAATTGTTCGAGTCTCGGATACGTATAACTTTCCTAAAACAATGCTATTGGTTATTTGGGAAAATACAATACACACGTGACAGTGAAGGACCAGATTTACGAATAAACGTTGACTTAAATAAAGGGTGTCCCCAAAAAAACGAAATCTACTAAAATCACCAATAACAATTTAATTGTTAGAATTTGAATATCTAAGCACTCTGTTGGTTCCCACGAGTGCAATAAATGATTGACATAAGTAAATTTTATGCATACAGAAACTATTTAAGAAGCTGCTAAAATTCCCAAGAGCAGAAATTCGCGCACTTTACAAGGATATGTTTTTAACTAAATTTTAATACTTGCACCTTGTCAATATTTTACGCATCATTACGTTCAGCTTCTCGGTACGACATTCAATTTTAACAATAAGTGATTTCAATAGTTTTCGGGTTTTTGTGAGACCCTGTAGTTATAATTAGTTCGAGAATTAGTTATATTGTTAAATACATTCATGTAAAACTGCAACAAAACAACACACTGACAATTCTTCTCCAAGGTCTTAAACTATGGAATTTGCTTCCAAAAAACTTGCTTCAGGAATGGATTAAAAAATATTTACAGAATGAATGAATAGTGAATGTAGGTGATACTTGTTGCGTTTTGCCACGAAGCTAGCTTAGTGGTTTCTCGATCTCTGTTTACCATTAATAATATTATTTGTGTATATCTATATTCTGCACACTATGTCTGGAATATTATATGTGTCTTTTGGCTAAACATTGAGTAACTTAAACTAAAAATTAAATTAAAGTAGAAAGATACAGATTTGACTTTCACTACCGTTACAATTAACCAATCAAATATTTTAATAACCAATTAACATAACGTATTAAGCCACTGACAAGTAGCTACAGCTACTGTGAAGTGAAATTTAAACCTCTCTATTGTCAGTACTCAGTAGCATTACGCAGTGTACATAGCACAATGTTCATTAAAAGGCGTCGCTGTATCAACGCATTGATATTCAAAGTAAAGATATTTTTTCAATTCAGGACACAGATCACCAGAGAACAAGTTGGCATCAACAGTTAATTTGCACTGATGTTGACCATCACAGTGTTTCTTAACAAGACATGTTACATTAACATTACAACTATAATCGTCACTCAAACCACATGTCTTTGTGGCAGGCAATCCACGGTACGATGCATTCTTCACCACCATGTACTGATCTTTAGGACAGTTTACATTCTTTACCACATTTCCATGACACGTCACTGAACCTAGAGCAGATTAGCAGAACAAAAATTTAGAAATGACGAGCACTAAATGACAATCTCAAGTAGGGCAAGAGATTTTGTTGAGGGTGATAGCGATGTATACAAAACGCGAAACACCATTGCTGGGCAAGATATTTTTATACAGAAATTCAGCATATATCAAATATTTGGAACAACTATAGAGTCTTGCTCGTGATCTACTTAATATGTCGTCGAACCGCTACGTTTTATTTAAATATTATAAATTATTTAAACATTTAGCGAATCTAGCTCGGTAATGCCGTTAGCTCACCGCCTCAGAATTGGCCCGAAGTAAAATCTATTAATTTGAAACTTTGCTATGATCCCACAGTTTACATCAAGTAATAGAACAAATTGGTGATAAAAAATAAGCAGAACACGATCTTTTTACAGCCAATTACGTTTTATCTAAATATACATAAAATATTATATATATATATATATATATATATATATATATATATATATATATATATATATATATATATATATATATATATATATATATATATATATATATATATATATATATATAATTTGTTTTGTTGTAGTAGATAATAAAGTGCTCAACACTAATACAAAAGTAGAGCAAGATATATTTATATCTTAAAATTAATTATTGCTACTCAAGTTTCACGCCTTATTCAAGACGATCTTCAGGCAATTAATTCAGTTTGTGTTTGATTGTTTTGGAGTTGAAGCTGGTCTAAAATTCTTTTTAAAATACTAGAATATGTACAATAAAAAGTCTAAAAAAGTTCTAAATTTTCGGTTGCTAACTGCAACCTTCATCAGAGTACTAAGAGCAGTATATATATATATATATATATATATATATATATATATATATATATATATATATATATATATATATATATATATATATATATATATATATATATATATATATATATATATATATATATATATATATATATATATATATATATAAAATATATATATATATATATATATATATATATATATATATATATATATATATATATATATATATATATATATATATATATATATATATAAATCTTTTACTATGCAGGGTGTCTAAAAAAGTAGACAATTTTGAAACGACTCTCAATTTCACAAATCCGTTAATTTCATGAAAATTTTGATAAATATAGATTGTTTAGGTAGGAATAATGTAGTAAACAAAAAAATTGTAATCCGGAGCGACGAGCGAGGGGAAGTAGTGTGTCTTTTTTAGGAGCATTAAAAATAGCTTGCGCGCGAATTTCAAAAAGTTTTTAAACGTATTTTCAGTTCGTGGGTAAGACGTTTGTTATGTGTTTCATAAATGGTCCAAATTTCAGAACATTTACTCAATGTTAAATCTTTTAAATAGCTGCTGAAACTTTCTTTTTTTGGCTCCAATGCCTGTTATACACATGCTTAATTCATGTATTTACCTAAT